CAAGCTTTATCATAGCAACAGTTTCTAGATTTAGAACATGTTTCCTTTAGCAAAATATTTAAATCTGTTAGCCACAAAGGTAAATTATTTTTATATTATTATTATTTTGCCTGCCATGGTAAGATTGATGCATGGCATATTCCTGCTGGGAGGAGTCCTAACATTGGAACTGACAGGTACCACAATGTTTATGTAGGACAACCTCAGCCTGGGCCCAGTCAGTTCAAAATGTCTGCCTCATACATGGTAAGTCACCGCATTTCCTTTAGAGCCTCATGTTATGCCAACATTACTATCTGTGCTGCCTCAACTACAAATTGGATGAACAGCCCATGACACTTTTTCAATATTATTACATTAAACCAAGTGGATTTTGATTGATAACCTAATATTCAACTAATGCAAAACATCAATCATGGCAAGTATATTAATTATTTAATATTGCAGTCTAATTCAGAAATCGATGTGCTGCATGAGGGGAAGGGAAACTCATGGTTCCCAGAAGATTTAAGACAGGGAATTATTAAAAAAAGACCTGCTGTACTCCTGTGTGTTAGTTCGATACAAATCTTTATTCATTTGCCAATAATTTCTTCCCATTTTCCACTTCAAGACCATTTTATCAGTTTTGAGACCTATAATTGAATTAAGCCTGCTTTCAGCACAGGGCAAAAGGAGTTGCACAAATATTAATGAAGTCATGACAGGGACAGCCCAAGAGACAGACCACTAAAAAGGACAGGCTTTATACTATTTGTTGCAAGATCCCTCTCTCAGTGTCTTGGATCTTGCCTCTCTATTTTTAAAAATTCATTAAGACTTTTGGAACCACTTTAAGATTTTTGTATTTAAATATCTATCATAAAAACAGATTTCTTCAGCACATTACAATTTATTGTGCATCTTCATGTACATTATCTTGCTTATTTTTTCTCAGCGACCTTGTGTATTAGGTAAGGCAGTGTTACAGTATCTTCACATCATGGGTGAACAGTCTGGGCTTCAAATTAGTTGGGTTATTATCTAAGCTCATGTAGCTAAAATTTGTAGTAGAGCTTAAATTTGGCTTTAGGTATTCTGATTCTAGAACCATGATTATATCATGTGTCTTGTATAGTATTTGTGTACTCATGATGGTTTAGCTGTGTTATTTTGGTATGGACAGCTTTCCTTTTCTTTCTATCCAAAGTAGAACTAAAGAAAACTGATTTTCATTGATAATTTGTTGAAGCATTGGTGTTCTAATCTGTGATACCTATTAAACTTTATGAATATGTGAACCTTCTGAATATAAACAAAAATTTCTTGACCTGTTATATCTTTTACTAGAATAGAATGCCCTTCTTTTTCTCCTGTGTGTGTGTGTGTGTGTGCATGCACGTATGTGAGCGGTACATATTTTGGGGGGATGACAAGTAGCTTAAACATACTTGTTATTAAACTTACCACCCAGCTTTCTTTTGGTTCGTGTTTGTCTGATTGTATCTTTTACTCTCTTTTTTTGAAATCTCTCTGAATCCTTTTGTTTTATGTGTCTCTTGTAGATGACACATTGCTGAATTTTGTTTCTTACCCAATCTACAAATATTCTCTGGCATTTTAATTCCAGATCGTTAATGGGTGACCTTTCTTTAGTTTTCTTTTTAGTCATTGATTACTTAGATTATAATAATTAGTCACTTTCTGAGCCAACCTTTACTTGATTTATCTTGTTCCTTCTTGAATTTGTTTTTCCTCTTACTGTATTACATTCCTCCAAACGTCTTTCAAATAATGTTTCTGTGTGTGAATTTCTTGAAATTCCTGCTGAAAATTTCATTCTTTCCTTCAGTGTAAATACTAGTTTATTAGTTGTATATAAGTTCTGTGTTCATAGTCCTTTTCCTCTACCACTTTATCTTGGACGCCAATACTCCATTGTCCAGTATTAATGTTGAGAAGTCTGATGACTGTGTTGCTCTTCCTTTATGGAGGGGTATGCTTTTTTTTTTCCCCAGAAACTTTTCCTTTTCCTTGATCTATAACAGTCTTAATTATCCTTGTATTATGCTTTGCAGTGGATTTTTCCTTAACTGTCCTGTTCACTGCTCTGTGTACCCTTTCAATCTAAGATTTGACTATCTCTGTATCTGGGAAATTTTTGTCATTATTTCTTCAAATATTTCTTCTGTTTTGTCTTTGCTTTCCTTCTAGGATTCCCATTGTATAGATGTTCCACATATTCTACTCCTACTCTTAATTTTATCTCGTTTGTTCTGTCTTTTCATCTTTTTTCCTAGGAATGCCTTCTGGGAGAGTTCTTCTCTCCAGTGTTCCAGCTCACTGATGTAAATAAAAATTTATATTTATGTAAGTATAATAAATATATAAATTTAAATGTGCGTAAATCTATTCTTGGTCTATAGCTATTGCACTTTCAATCCATCCTCTGAGTTCTTTACTTCAAACTATTGTATTCTTCCTACTATCTCACACTGATTTTTTTCTTAACTGCTTTTTTGTATTTAACTTCTAGAACTCTTCCCTATCTTTGAAGATGTTATTATGCTTATGTTACATTCCTGCTTGGTCATTTCTGTTTTCTCTGGATGAGGCCACTCTGTTTCTTGTTTTTCTCCTCTTGTGTTAACATATCCAAAGGTCTTAAAATTTTCCTTGTGGGCTTCTTCTCTTTTATTTCCTAACATTCAGCTGCCTTGGCTAGCCATTTTAATCTAAAGAGAGAGGTTAAAGTTTAGGATCTGGCTTGTGCTTTTCTAGGTTAATTTAAAGACTAGAGTGCAAGGCTACTAGTCTTGTACTCCTGCCTCAACTATTTTTTTCATTATCTTTTTACTCTGTCAATAACAATAAAGGGCAAAACAAAGAAAAACACTCTCCCACCACACACATACACAAAACTCCTATTACTACTGTCCCAAACAACCATTTGCTCTTTGTGTGGTATGGAGATGGTATGGGGTTGGGTAGGACCATTCAGATACCTGAGCTGGTTGCTACTGACTCTCCACCCAAGCTTATCTTCATGACAGTTAGATGTCAGTCCCTTAGTAGTTGATAACAAAGGGAATGAGTAGGGTATTGTGAATTTAAAGAAGGGAATTGACGTGATCAAGCTTATATTTTAGAAAGATCTTGCTGTATTATGGAGGATGAACTATGGAGGATCTACTTTGGCCAAAGCAGGAGCCACTGACGAAGAAGCTTTGCAGTAATCTGGCATAGAAAAGATGATGACATAAAATAAGGTAGTAACTTTGAAGACAGAAAGAAGTGGTTAAGTCTAAATGATAATTAAGGATGTTGGAGAGCCAAGACCCTGTCGTTAATTACACTTGTTTACATTTGGTAGTGAAGGAAAGGGCACGTGTCAAGGATGATGCCTAGTTTTCTTTCAGGAGTACCATTCAAAATGCGTTATTTCCTAACATCATTTAATTTAAAGAATCACTTAGAAAGCATAACAAAGCAAAAGCCTAACCAACCTTTTTTATTTTTAAAGAACAGTTTCTTATCCTTGGTTCCAAAATGAAAACAGCTCAGAAAATTGGGAGATTTTCCCTAAGTTTATGACAAACTCTGTTGACAGCCAAACTAACCCTGAAATGAAGCAGTTTGTAGTCTCGTTTATCCCACTTTGTGTGGATATTCATGTTTCTTTCAGAATTACTTTGTATGATGATGAGATGCTGCTTCAGAAACCCTTAGATTTTCAAGTATTGAAGTATAATATTGTTAACATTACCAGAAATAGAATAGAGAAGTGAACAGTTAAAAATGAGTACTAATCAGTAGAAGTTAGAATTTATTCTAAGTAAGCTAACCTGGGCAGCAAGAGCAAAGATTGGAAGCCATGAGTGTAGTTTGCAAGCAACAGATCTGAAGGGAAAAGAGAGAGGGAAATTTGGAAAGTTGTACAGCAAAACAAAGGAACAGAGATAAGTGTATTTTTGGCAAAGAAAATTAGAGACAAATAAAGAGAAAAGAAAGTTGGGGCAGCTTCAGAGAAAGAAAGAGGTGTGGGGCAAAGATGAAACATCATAAATGTAGTACTGTTGTTGAATGTTTCATAATTACTTTCTGCAGTGTAGTAGAAGTGTAGTTTCATGTTTAAAAAGGTAAGATTTGGTTTATGATGGAATTAAAGTACTGCTTGGTCAGAGGGAGAAAAACCAAAGTACATTGTCACTAATACATTAGTATAGACTGAAATCAAGGAAAAGAATCCAACTATTTGCCGTAATTCACCACATGTATATTTAAATTATCTTTGCTACTTGTGCATTTATTTGTATTTTTAGGTGTATCAGCAGTTTTTACACAATGCAAAGCAAGAAATTTAAAGACAAAATATATCATGATATCTCAATGTTTATATTGTCTTTGGTGATATTTTATCTTTTAATATTGCAACAGTCTTAGGTCCTGATTTGTGGTATGCTCTAAGTTAATATAACTGACAGGAAAAAAATTTTGTTAAGAATTAGTTCCTTAGTTATATATTCACAAACATATTCTCTATGTACATATTCTTTATATAAAAATGCAACCATGATGGATGGATTTTTGATAAAAAGCAAAAAAAGCAAAATGTCAATTGTAGAATCTGGATGGTGAATAGAATCTATGTGTTGAACATTTTCATAATAAATGTTGGAGAACCAACTACAGTGGAAAACCTAATGTGCAAAAAAGACACTGTGAATAGCAAAATAATAATAATACACTTGACTTGTTTTTGTTTTCCACTGACTGAAAAATCTGAAACATTCTTTCTGTTGGTTCAATACCAATTTTAGTGGAAATACTATTAGATCCAAATAAATCGTCTGTTCCCTTTTAATGGAAATTGTTTTGTCTTTAAAAACAGTGTTATTGTGAACACTACTAAAGATAAATGAAAAATCTATAAGGGTTTATAAAACATTTTTGAGGTAAATGTAAATTATAACAGACAAGGGTTTAGCAAGTATTTAAAACTTTTCATTCTTCTATTTTAGGGAATCTGGAAACATCAAAGCTGGATTAGAACATCTGGTAAGTTCTAATTTTCTCTTGAACATTTGCATCATCTTTGATTTCTGCATTCTAAATGAACACTTTTGAATGAGCTTTGAATACTGGGTATTGAGAAAGTCAACCATTTCCCAAAGGGTCAGCTTACTGTTATTATGTGAAGGCACTTACATTTTCATTTATCTTATCATTTCAAGGGAATTTAAAATTTTTTTTAAATTACTTTTTTTTGATGTTGAGATGAAATAAAATGGATGACAATCCTTGGATTGGTAATTGCTTTAATTATAAGCAAAAATGTTTAGTGTAGAATTTTTGGCTTATCTTGATCTGACAAAAACAAGCTTGTGTTTTAAGAAAAACACAAATATTGCATGCATAAATATGGTATGTCTTAGCAATTTGACAGCTTTGAAAGAAGGGCACAGCTTTGTTTTTCCTGATGTCTTTGCTTTATGAATAATTCATTGCTTTAAACTATTTTAGGTTTTAGAATATAAAATAATTGAGATGTAAAATTTTTGGCTTAAGTAAACATTTTTAAAGCACAAGTGAAATTCATACTGACTTAACATTAAAATCTGTCCATTGATCAAAAAATTGGAAGAACTGTGTTTGTATTATACCAGGTCCAAAATTCGTTGAGCTCACCCCATTGAATGTTCATTACAACATAAAGTAGTTAATTTAAACAGAACATTATAAAGTCATGCTCTGGTTTCTGGTCAAATCCAAATGTTGAATAATTAGTGATAGAGATTCTTTTATAAATACAATCTAAGTACTTTTTAAATGCAAGACTTCTTTCGTAAATCATACCACAGCTGTGTTAACTATTAATGTCCTTATGTTCTGTCCTCACCAAAGCAAACAGTAGCAAGAGTCAACTTTTTTTGACTTACAGTACACAATAGTTCTAGAGTTGGAAGGGATTATTGGATAGCTTCCTGTCAATAGCTAAGGAAACTAAGGAAACCTAGACTTTAAAAAAAATATGATCCTAAAAGTTATAGATTAACTATTAATAAGCAGAATAACCTAATTAGCAAATTTGAATATGTATTTGCCCGAGTTAGAAGTAAATAAATAACATTGCTATTCTCATTATTAAAAAATTATTTCCTGAATCCCAGCTTATCACTTCAGAGAACCATATGTATTTAGGACATATGGACATCAGAATAAAAATGTTAATCTAAGACATTGAGTATCAGAATCAATTTGGGGCTCAATAACAAACAGCTTACAATAGTGCCAAAATGAGCTGCCTTTCATACTTCTCTTGTAAATTGTTATTTATTAAAAAGACTTTATATTTACCTGGTTCATGTTCCTCAGTAAATAATGAGTTAGATTTTTGAAAGTGTAAATTTCATATTTTTATACTTACTGGTATGAACTTACTGTCATTGTCGATTTCATGCAATCTTATTCTACTTACAGTCTTAACTTAGCATTGATTTTGTGTGCATTGGGCTTCCAGGAAGGCTCCCAAAAGCAGGTGGCACTCTATAGTCTTCCACTGCCCACTCTAACCAGAGTAGTTCCACTTTTAGTTACTTCGTAAATTTTTAAGCTTTTGAAATAAGATTTAATCTTAAGAAAGTTCTCCAAATACTTAAAATAAAATAAACATATTTAAAAACCTTTGATGAAGCATAGCTACTTATCAAGTCAGGAGTAATTGTTAATTATTCTCTATTCTTGACCTTAAGTTATATTTCATTGTCATCTGGGTCATATACATCAAATATATTTCAAAAATAATGCATTTTAGGAGTAAGAGAACCAAGATTAGTATAACTGGTAGTGGGAAGTAGATGATTTTAATGCATTTTATCTAAGTTCCTCAAAAGACTCTGTAACTTGTCATTGTAAAATTAACATGGTGTCCATAACAATAATATGGATATATAATAACAATATATATGCATATATATTGCATTATATACTAATAATATTCAGTGGTGTCAGAGATATTCTTTGTAACTGTCTAAGAAGGAAGTGAACTCAATTTATTAGTTGAGCATTGATGCAACCTGTCTGTCTAGCAGCTGTGGGCACCACAGATTTGTGTCTCTCTCCACTAACCAGCTAAGCAGAATCACATAGCCCTTTCCTTCTAGCTTGTAGCCCTTCTTTGAAACGGCTGTAGAGTCAAATACAATTAGAAGTATAGCTTAAAAATTAGATTGATTTTTAGAATATATGATATAAAAATAAAGTGAGAAGACCTCATCCCACACATTTGGAGTTAATTTCTTCTTTAGCCTTCTTCAGTTTTATTTTGTTAAATTTATTTGGTTTATCATGGAGAATTGACATTGTTCTAAGGGAAATTAAAAGCAAGTATAAATTTAAATAAGAAAAATGAAATATGCAGCATATTTTACTTCTACAAGGACACATACATGGTTGCACTATCTTTGTACTGTACTTTGTTTATGGGCTTTTGTTGGTATATGGTTTATCTGTAACTCGAAAGGAGAAAGCATGTGTAGGACAGAGTAGGATAGGTGGGCTCTGTTCCCCTGTAATCTTTTCAAAGGCTGATTTCCTTTATTTGTCACACTCTCTCAAGCCCTAGATTCAGCCTTTGTTCTATCATTCCTTTCTTTCTATGTTGCCAACTTCACCTGGGAATTGTCCAGCATGCCATTCTTAGCTTAAATTTCTTATAATTTACTGCCCAACTGTTTTATTAGTTTTTTTCCCACAAACTTATCTACTACCCATAAAGTCTATGTCTGTTTGAAGTTCTACGCAGTCTTTAAAGGTGATTGCAAAATGAAGATTTTCTAACTCTGTGCTCCTCCTACTTTATATTTAGTATCCACTATTCTACTATAAAGAAGAGCCCACCCTGCTTTCTTGTTTTATCTATCTATTTATGGTGAGCAAGACTCACGGATATTTATTTTATAAAATAGGTCACTATCAATTCTTTTCCTTATTTATTTTGATGCTCCAATTGTTCCATGTTTGTCCAGGGAGTATCCTTTCAAGGTGACTTCTGGGTCCTTAAAACATATCCCATTTTGGTTCTTTATGTACTTCCTCATTTTATGGCACAAGGTATTTCAGACTCATACCTTTCCTGTCCTACTCATGGAATCTTTTCAAATTACTCATTTCGTTTTAGAGGAAAATGGTATTTAGAAATCAAGATCTAGACATAAGATGTGCTCATTGTCTCTGGGATTTCATTACTTCTAGGAGCTTTCAGTTGTTAATTAGAGAGATAATTAGGTAGATAAATAGGAAGGTGGAAAGATAGTTTTAGGAAATTACAAGTCATAGTAATATTTCCGGTTTTAATCCAAACAACAGAGTTCTTCCTTGTCCTTCCCCATTTCATATTTGTATTTCCTTCATCCAAAGTAAAAACCCAGACACAACTCTAGTACATTTACTCATCTGCTCAGTCACATAATATACATAAAATAGTTTCAAAATTGCTACAGCCATGCTTTGTGAAAAACACACTTAATAAAAAGAATTCAATATTTATTTCTAGTTTTTTTGCCCCTTAAGTGTAGTTAGGTTATTCATTTGAAATATATAGTTGGATTAATTTGTTTCAGATTGCATTCAATTTTTGGTGACTTGTCTCAACTATTGTGAGTTAATTATGTTTGAATATCCATAATGTTAACATGCTTCCAAAAGTTAAAATATTATACACAATGGTGTTCTCAGAGAGGTGTCACTCCCTTCCTTTCTTGTTTCTTCTCTATCCCTTGTAGGAAGCCTCTTTTATTAACCTCTGGTTTATCCTTCCTGTGCTTCTTTCTGTACAATTAAGTGTGTGTGTGTGTATTCCTATTTTCTATTTCTTAAAAAAAAATACTGTATATACTTTTTTGTATATACCTTTTTGTACTTCGCTTTTTTCATTTACTGGTATATCCTAGATATCACTCCATAATTACTGTGCTTATCATTAATTTACTGTGTTCCTTTCTGTATTTGGCTGTATCTTCTTTATTAAGGGTCTGAGATTTTAACTTACTTCAATGCCTGCCACACTTTTCCAGATGCTGGCAGAAGACATGAGATTCCTGGGTCAGAGGCAAAGTGCTTTCTTACTAACAGCACCAAAAGCAGCACATGCTTCTTGGTTGATTAGGTTCCACTTGACCCCCCCATCCCATGGGGTGATGTGCATACTCTGCAGGTTTTTGTCATAGCTGAGGGACTCCAAGTTTTTGTATTTTTTAAGGAGCTGACAGAAAAATCTGCCCAAACTTGACGAAAAGAAAGACATTATCTTAATTATTCTAGTGAGGTAAAAAAATGGCTTTTTGTTCCAGTGGGAGATTTTATCTCTGTCTTCCAAGACTGTTTGCTATAAAAATCATCTTTGAAATGATAGTTTTGAACCAAGGCCAATGGCTGTTATAAGATATACAGAATATCATAGAGAATTGTTTCTAAAGAGCTGCTATTATTATTATTATTATTATTATTATTATTATTATTATTATTATGTTTAGGAAACTTGCCTTTTTGTTCTAGTGGTTACCTTTGTATTTATATATTTTATAATGCTTTTAATACTCTGTATTCCTTCATAACCTTTTAAGTGACATCCGTTCACTCACACTTGTTACCTTTATTATAACCAACAATCCTTTTTACTTTCCCTTTCTTCCCATTTATTCTTGTATTGTTCTTGCTACTTTGTTAAAATATGCAATGTCTATATACTGTTCTTGCACTCGTGCTGTCATCTTGTTTTCACATCAACTCTAAAATTAAATATATTAGATATTTGTCATTAGTTCTTTTGCTGATATTTCCCCACTGATCTTCCATTTGCATAAAACTCATCCACTAGTATATTCCTCAAGAAAGGCTCAGGTGTACAGTATTGCCCCAGATCTTGCACATTCTAAGCTGTTTTTCTATAGTCTTGCCCCTTGAATGACAACTTGACTGGACATAAAATCCGTGGCTTACAGGTTTTTTCCTTGACTTTCTTGAAAATACTATTCTGCTCTTGATATCTCTGGTGCCAG